AGCGCGGCGAACCTTGGGTAAGCCTGCCGAGGCGCCCGCGAGGCGCCCACGAGCGGCAGCGCGGCGAAGCCTCGGGAAATCCGCCAAACGCACGGGCCACGATGCGCCCACGAGGCGGCCCCGTGGCGAATCCTCAGGGCACCCGCCCGCCGCACGGGGCGCCCACGAGGAGCCCACGGGGCGCCCACGGCGCTCCCACGGGGCGCCCACGGGGCGCAGCCTCCCCGCGCACGGGGGCGCCCGCGGGGCGCCCGCGAGGCGGCACGAAGCGCCCACGGGGCGGCCACGGGCCCGCAGCGTGGCGAAAACCGGGGACGCCCGTCCTTTTCCTCGCGTCATGCAAGCAGGGTCCCTACGGGCAAGCAAGCAAGAGCCCTACGGGCAAACAAGTAAGAGCCCTACGGGCAAACAAGTAAGAGCCCTACGGGCAAACAGGTAAGAGCCCTGCGGGCAAACAAGTAAGAACAGGCGGGCAAACCGTCCCAGGTAAAAACCTCGCGTCGAGCAAGTAAGAACCCTACGGAGAAACACTGTTTTGTGAATGTGCGTTGTTGCGTTCCTCCCGGTTCCCCAGCGGATCCGACGCATGGGACATGCTTCCGGCAGATTGATGACCCCCAGGCCAACAAGAAAGGGCGCGATCCTGCGCGCGACAGCCAGGACGTCCTGCTTGGCTACCTGGGCTCGAAAAGCATCAACAACCTGCAAGACCCCCAAGTAGACGGATTCAAACCATTCGGCGCCCGAAAGAGACAGGACCTGTCCCAAGTTGGCGGCAGCGCCTCTGCCCTTCCGTGCGAACGCCCACTGCCTTAGCAGAACAAGTAGGAACCCTAAAATGCAAACGCGGATGGGAGAAGAATCGCCAAGTCTACCACTGCTACACATTCGGATTATCCCAACCGTCCGACCGCGCGATCGTGCCCCCCCGCCCCCCAAGAAAACCCTACGGGCATGTCGTTGGTCTCCCCCTTCCCGGGTTCCTTCCTCTACATGCCTTCCAAGACGATCTACAAAGGAAACCCAAATGGCCCAGAGAGGCCTCCAAGACGGCCTCTGAAGGCGCCAAACGTTACAAGAGCGCCCCGAAATGCCCCCACAGAGCCGCACGACGGCCCAAAAGGTCCCCTGGAGGCCCTCAAGAAGGTCCCAAGAGGCCAGAAAAGAGCTCCATGGCAGCCCCGAGACGGCCCCTTCCTAGAATCCCGCCAGCCCTCTGGACGTAGGTGGTTTAGGGAGTTTCCTCTTCCACCCCCCTTCTTTCCCTTCGGGCAACGGTTTACCACTGTTCCCTATAAACGCCGCCTCCCACACCCGGCCGGCAGCCAACCCGGAACCATGCGCACACCATGAGGGCCCCTCCCCATCCCTGTCAAACGAATTACCCTGCGACGTACCCAACCCACGTGCATCAAATGGCAAGAGGAGTATGCCAACATTAGCAGGAACAACGACAGTGTAGACGCGGCGATTTGCTGTGCAAGCTACATGGGATGCGCATGCGTTGCACGATTCGCAAGACGACGATCGAAAGAACGAGGCTTGAGGCCCCAGGATCGAAGAAGAACAGGTACGGGAACGAGGGGTAGGAGAGGGATGGAATGGAGGGCGGGGGGGGGGGCGAAAGGCCATCGCGGAATCAGCAGCATGCGTGGAGAAGGTGAAGCGTGGAATAGGACGACGATGAAAGTGGCGGGAGGAGACAGAAGACTGCCGCGTTTGTCAAGTGCGAGCTAAACCCGCAGCGCTGCCTGCGCCATGTCGTCGCAGAGTTCCACATGATAAAACTTGTTTAGAGTGCAAGGAACGAGCGAGGCGTAGCTCGCCCGCTAGCTTCTCCGCCTCCTTCCCGCACATTTCAGCGCGGGAGCTGAACGCTCGCAGGCGCGCCGCCAGGTCTGCGGGCGGCCCGCGGGAAAGAAACTCAAGGCCGGGGTCGCGTATCATCAATCGGTTGTCCATCGTCCAAAGTTGCACTGGCGACGTACTGGTTGAACGCGGAGCGAGCAGCATCACGCGCGTGCCTGAACGCCACGCAGGTACAGTGCACGCGCGATTGGGACTTCAGGTCGATCACGCGCGTCTCCACCAGGCTTGGCAACACCACGCGACTGAGGATCTCACTGCGGTCTGCCATGCTGCTGTCCGCGAATGCAATGCGCTGCCTGCAAGTAAGGCGGCGGCGTCCACTTGTCTCAGAAGATGTTCCCGCGGGCCCGAAGGGCGACCGCCAGCTCGAGCCGCGGCGCCGGCAGGCCAGATAAGGATCATGCAACAGCAAAGACGATGACAGAGCAACGAGGTATCGGCGAGTGCATGACCGGCCTCCGTTTCCTGCACTTCTTTCCTGTAGTTCCCCTAACTCATCGAGTTCAGCAGATGTTTCTGCGGGTCCGAAGGACGACCGCCAGCTTGAGTCGCAGCGTCACGTGGCACGAACCGCAGAGTAAGGGCACGCGATCATTGCTCGTGGTCAGAATCTGAGTCCCCGTGGTGCCTCACTCCGCTGGCCACCCACCAGCAGCCCTCGAAAGTGGCGACAGTTTCACAGATCGCAGCCGCCCAGGGGTGGCGAGGTCTAATCTGAGTCCCCGTGGTGCCTCGCTCCGCTGGACCCACCAGCAGCCTCGAAAGTGGCGACAGTTTCGCACAGGGATGGCGAGGTCTAATCTGAGTCCCCGTGGTGCCTCACTCCGCTGGACCCACCAGCAACCCTCGAAAGTGGCGACAGTTTCACAGATCGCAGCCCCCCAGAGATGGCGAGGTCTAATCTGAGTCCCCGTGGTGCCTCACTCCGCTGGACCCACCAGCAGCCCTCGAAAGTGGCGACAGTTTCACAGATCGCAGCCCCCCAGAGATGGCGAGGTCTAATCTGAGTCCCCGTGGTGCCTCACTCCGCTGGACCCACCAGCAGCCCTCGAAAGTGGTGGCAGTTTCACAGATCGCAGCCCCCCCCCCCAGAGATGGCGAGGTCTAATCTGCGTCCCCGTGGTGCCTCACTCCGCTGGACCCACCAGCAGCCCATCATGTTCGTGAGGCCCGCGGGCACTTTGTATTGTTTTTCGACAGGGGCGGCGGGGGTGTCAGCATATTGCCTGCTGCGCGCAAGGATACCATCCCTGACAAACGCACAATACAAAATGCACCTCGCGGCTAAATGTGGATAGTGCGCGGCCACCCCGCGATCATCGTCAAGTGGTTTTTGTCAGGGACGGCGGGGGTGGTGGTGTATGGCCTGCTGTGCGCAGGCCCGCCAGACACAATGATGGGCATTGGTTTTCGACAGGGATGGTGGGGGCCGACATGTTTCCAGGTGTGTGCTGTCATGTGCGCAGGCGCACCTGACACACTCTGCACGTGCCCCGGACGTGGCGCACCTGGCGCGGCTGGAGGGAGCATCTGGCGCACTAGGCGTGCCTGGTACGCTCGGGCCCCAGGGATGCCTGGCGCGCGTGGCGCGCCTGGCACGCGGGGGCACCTCGCCCCAGCGTCGCGCACATGGGCTCGGTTTTGGTTCCCAGTAGCTGTCCATCAAAAGACGACCGCGGAACATGCTGAGGCTCGGGTGTTACTTATGTGTTGGGAGGGCGGGTGGGAGTGAGCTAGACGGCTTGCTATCTGGAGGGTGTCTTGACCCCTCCCCCCTACCCCCTCCCCTGGACCTGGACGGGGCTAGTCGCGAGCGGTCAGGGCGTCCAATACGGCCTCGGCGAAGAAGCCAAAATCATTGGTTTTACTAGGGTTTGGGACTTATTTTGGCCTCTTGGGGGGGCAGCGCGAATTGCAGCTCCCCTCTTCTTTGATTCACGTCCTCCAAGATGGCCCCAAGAAGCGCCCAGGCGGCCCCAAGAAGCCCCAAGATGGCCCCAAGATTGCCCTAAGAGGCCCCCAAGAGGCCCCCAGAAGGCCCCCAAGAGGACCCCAAGCGGACCCAAGAGGCCCCCCCGAGGCACCCAAGACGCCCACGAGCCCCCCAGGACCGCCAGGAGATCCCAAGACGTCCCAAGAGGCCACCAAGAAGCGCCCAAGAGATATCCCAAGGGCTCCGAGAAGCATCCAAGAGACCTCTGGCCCTTTTGCTTGCCCTCCTCCTCCTGCTCCTCCTTCCTCCTCCTGCTCCTTCTCCTCCTCCTCCTCATCCTATTCATCCTCCTTCTCTCAACTCCCTCATCCGTCCATGCAGCCTTCTCCTTCTCCTCCTCCTCCTCCTCCCTCCTTCGCGCAGATCGGCTGTCCCCCTCTTTGCTCCCGCACTTCCCTGATCACCTCAACTCGCCTGGACATCGTTTCTGGACGGCTGGTGGGGATGCGTGAAGCGTCTAGAAATTCCCCAATGGTTTCTCGAATAGCTGGAGAACGCGCAATCGACTAGCGTGATCGCACTTTCGCTCGATATTTCATTGCACAAGCGCTTCCAAAGGCATGGGGCGGCGGTGACTGTCCGTTGGTGTCTTCGGTAAAAGTGCTAGAAAAAATGAGGGAATGGGGTGGGGAGGGGGAGGGGCGGGAAGACAACCTGAGCATCCTCAGATAAGCTTGACATCATTTTCTTATTCATTGTTTTGCCGATCGGCGCGGGCTCCTGCACCCCCCCTCCCCTCCCAACTCCCTGGAGTAGATCTTGGCAGTTCTGGGCGCCTGTTTCGAGCAGGTGGAGTTTCCTCCCCGTAGGGCGCACTGTTGCAAACAGGCTCACTAAGCAGAGGTCTGGAGCCAGACCCCGCCTCCCCCCTCCCTTCCGCCCACTGTCGAAACGCCGAATCAGAAAACGCTCATCTCGTCAGTCATGATGGAGCAGAGCATGGCGACCTCAATCAACGACTTTGTTGAGTCTGCGACTGGACGAGAGAACTGGGGCACAACTCGGGATATTAAACCCCATAGCGGTGCGAGAGAGCGCCTGCGAATAATGCATGCCTTCAAGTCTGCCGAATCGACGCAACCTGAAAATCATCGACTCGCACCGTGCGCGCTCCCAAAGCCCGCTGGCCCCGGCCGTCCTCCCAAAGGTCGCAGGACTCGAGCGCAACGCTGTCCGGAGAGGCGACCCAGTCCAAGTCGCTCTTGATCAGGTTCCAGAGGAAGGGGCGTTCCTCTCTCTGTCTCTCCCTGTAGGTATAAGTATGCACTTGCACATGTGTGTTTGTATGAATCGCGCGCTCTCTCTCTCTCTCTCTTTCTCTCGCCTCGCTCTTCCCGCCTCTTGCTCTCAAGGTTTCGGTAACGTGTCTGTGCGTTTGCAGAGCATGGTTCTCACCTCTCTCGCGGCGGCGGCGAGGGACGGGGCGGCCCTCCCAGAGGGCGGGCGCGGCTTCCTACTGAGAGCCACCGGCTCCCAGAAAGAGGCTTCGGGGCAGGCCGGGGGGAGGGGGCAGGCCACGTGTGCCCTCCGAGAGCCCCTCCTGCCCGCCCAGGAAGTCGCCCACCATCGCCCCGCCCCCGTCTGCGCCTCGCCGACCAGGTCTCGCCCCTTCCTCCCTCTCATGGCCGAGTGCCGCTGCCGACTGCCGCCGGGCAGCGCGAGGTTGCTTGTGGTGGGAGCGTTCCGCGGAGCGCCGGCCGAGCGGCGTCGGCGGGCCAGGGCCGGCTCGCGCTCTTCCGAGCGGTGCGGAGGTCGGGCTGCGCCTGCCTCCCCTCGTGCACAGCGCAGGAGTGGCGGCTCCCCCTCGGGAGCGCGATCGCCTGGCGGGGAGCCATGCAGGGGGGCATGCGCTTTTCATGTCTGTTTGAAGTCCCTGGCGCCCCTGGCCCCGCTGGCGCGGTGCCCTGGAGGGTTGCCCTGGGACCTCCCCATGCGGATCCAGGCGGAGTCCTGAGAAATACTGCGGACCCCTTTCGATCCCCGAAGAATCCAAAAAGAACCAGCGGCCCCCCACGGAAACCAGAACAAACATTTGAAATTCTGAGGAATCCACAACTCCAGCGGAACCGTGGGGTGTCCCCCAACATTTGTAGAACATGTAGGCATCTGGCGGCAACCAAACGATTCCCAAGGAATCCTGAATGTCTGTATAGAATCCCGAAGAACCTGGAAGAAACCGCACGGATCCTGAAACCTCCTCGTCGGGATTTCTTCTCAAGCAGACCCGACCCCCCCTGGTCGCGTGGCGAGATGCCCGCACATGCGACGCAATTGCGATGCGGCTGCGACGCATCCGCGGGTCACCCGTGCGCGTGTCCCATCGCGCAGCGAGGCGCCGCCCCTCTCGCGGGGCGAAAAAGCCCGCGCGAGAATCGAGCCCGAGCCCGTCGATGCGGTGGCACGGCCGCTCCGCCACCGCGCGCCGCGAGCGCGTGCCCAGGTCGCGCAGCGATGCGCCACTTTTTTTTTCGCGGCGCGAGGCCCCGCGCGAGGGGGCGCAGCTGCACCCACCTCGGCGCGCGGAGCGAGACCCGCGCGCGCGAAAACATCGCTCCGCGAATCCTTCCCCCGCGCTCGAGCGCTGCCCAATCGGGCAAGAAATCTGCTGGGCGCCGCGCGCTGGCCCCCGCGCGAAAGACGCATTCCGAGACTCCCGCCGATGCGACGCAAGTGCGCCAGTGCGCATGGCACGACGCGCGCGCCATGTAATTAGAAAAACGTCCGCTTCGGCACCTCAACATCTGTTTCGGTACTTGAGGCATCTCATCCGTTTCGGTACCTGAGGCAATCCGTTTTGGTAATTACCTACGACAATCTGGCTCGGTAGCTGAAGCAATCCGATGCAGCTCCTGAGACACAATACGCTTCGGTACCTGAAGCAATCCGGTCTAATGTCTGAGACAATCCACTTTGGTGCTTGAACCGCGAAAGCTTCCGGAATCTGCGGGAAGCCGTTCCGCGGCGATCTCCAGAGGCATCTAGAGATCCTCGCATATACCTGGACCAGTTGGGCGCCGCCGCCGAGGTCGTCTTGGTCATCTGGCCGAAGGGCTGGCGGAACAATATCAGACCTTTTTCCGGATTAATACATAGCCATATCTTGAATCAATATACGCCGGACCGTACTCCGGATCAAACTGCAACCCTAATCAAAAGCACAACAAACATATCGAGGACGCTGTGAGAAAAGTGATTTCGCGCACACCTGGCTTGAAACACTCCAGCCGGATTCGCCCGTTAAGCGCCGCGGAAAGAAACGGCTTAGAACATACCTGGTTATAAATACTCCTGGCCCAGTTCGGCCACAAAACGCAGCGACGGGAAACAATATCGAAAACGTTTGGTTTTCAACACTCCTGGTCAAATTCGCCCGACAAGTGCCGCGAAGAGAAACGACTTCGAACACACCTGGTTGCAAACACTCCCAGCTAAATTTGCCCGCAAAGCGTCGCGAAAAGAAACGACTTCGAACACCTGCCGGGTCCAGCCGCAGGGCGCGTCGAGGAACAACGATTTCGAACAACTCCCAGCATGGTTTGACTCCAAGGCGTCGCGATGAGAAACGACTTCGAACAAATACGCTTTGAAACACTCCTGACCAAATTCGCCCGCACGGTGCGGGCAAAGACCTGGAGGCGAGGTCGAAGGCATCTGGTTTAAACACTGACGGCCAGATTCGCCCGCAGCGCGCTGCGAAGAGGGACGAGCTCGAACACATCGGGGTCTTTGTCCGAACTTCGTCTGAGGCGCGCAACACTGTGCTTCCAGCCCACTTGTTTGTTCACACTTTTCCCCACAACGAAATCGCCTGAAGGTTCGCTCGCTTCGTCAATACAGACCCAGACGCAAAGGAAGCGCTGCACGGGAACTCCACCGTGCGTGAGCAGGAACAAGATCGGGAGGAGGAGCGGAGGACCGGGAGAGTCCACCTGCAAGCGAAAGCGGCATTCCTTCTCCATGTTTTGCTTGATGTGGCCATGTTTTTCTTTGGCCCCTGAGCTCGAACCAAAACGATACCGCGGAGAGAGTGGGGAGCCCACAGGCGGCTGATCATTCATCACTGTCGTTTGCGCCGTCCTTGTCCGACCCAATGTCCAGATACGTAAGACGTGGCCAACCTGGGCCAGCATGGCCATGTATTTATCCAGTGCCCAATCATCCTATGTAAACGATGTTTGGGCTTCTACGTGCAAGCGCTGTTAGGGTGCAATCGATCCGTCTGCCAATTATTTCTCTATTCATACGGCCGTTGTTCGTGTTCCGCTTCAGGCGAGATCATGTTGACATACCTGCGTATGTATATGTATTCGTATCTAGATATTTAGTAACGTACTTTCCAATACTACTACTTACCCCTGATTTGATTCCCGATGTCGTGTTTGCAAGTGCTCCTCTGCACATCTTTTGTTTCGGTGGGTATTGCGTCAATTGGGGAACGTTCGATCCAGGGATGATGCGGCACAGTGAGTGGTGAAGAGTACAGGGTGGAGTTCAACCACCAGATTGCCAGGAACATAACCCACGGTCCTGAACGCGATCCCGCTCATGTTGAAATATCTGCGCAGAACTCTCGCTTGCAGAATTTTCGGATGAGAAGGCATCAACACACTTTTTTTCAGAACCAATCGGGCGTCGCCTTCGACGAATCGACACATTTACATATCGGCCTCACTGAAGCTAGCGGACGACCGTGGAAACAGAGCCAAGGCGGCTCCGCCGGCCAAAATTCGGCGGAAATAACCCATGGCTGCGTTTGACTTAAAATGTCAAGACTGTCGTATCCTAATTTTCCTGATCGCTCCATGTCGAATGGTTTGTGGCCGAACCGCGCTTGGATCATGGACGGAGCCTTTTCTCACGTTTCTCTGGACCTTTCGGGGACTCTAATCCTAATGCGGTGTCGAATGCGACTTTCAATGTAATCCTGCCCCATTCGCAACAATAACCAAAACAACAGAAATGGCCAAAAGAAACGGGAACAATGCAACAACACACACGACTATACTTCCCAAAGAAACCTAAACGGAAATCCGTGGAACCCGAAACACTGCCATTTGTTCAAAACCAATTCGCGTGATGCCGAAGGGAAGCATGGCATCAACCGAAACGCCAAAATGGGAACACGTACTCGAAAAACACAAGAAACGAAACGGCAAACAACACATACCGAAACGAATGACATCAAATCACGAAACTGATGTCGTCATATACCGACACGAATATCCTCAAATACCGAAGCAGAGGTCCCGGGATAGCCGAAACGGATGTCCCCAGGCATCGAAATAGATGTCCACACATACCGAAACGACGCAAGACTTAAATCGCTGTCTGACTAGGCACCGAGTCGGGGTGGGTTAACACCTCTTGGCCAGCGTTAGCCCCTGCGCTGGGTTCTCGTCTGTACCCACTCTGACAATCTTGATGTACCCATCACTGAAAAGCCAGAAGACGTCCATCACCTTGCACAATTATTGACGAATTCCTAGTGCCACTGCGGTTCTCGCATCACCCTTTCACACTTTATGGGCACACATAAGAAATCCTTCAATACTGTGTTCAATCCTGGCGCCTCTAAGCCTCCCGTTACAACTCAGCGTCACTCGGCCCCGCCGAGCTGTCCCTGAACAAAACTCCTCCGCTCGTCGAAAGACTTGTCTTTCTGCAGCCTGCGTAGTTGGCGTCAACTATTGTCTCTGCAACCCTTGTTTCCTCGTCTCACTTGCAAACCACGCAGTTAATCCAACCAGCCCCTGGGGCGCAGGTGGTCTTGAGAGCTCGTCCCTTTACAACATCTTATTCGGGGAGGGCTCCCAAAAGGCCCTACATATCCCAAGATGGTCTCCACGATGTCCCAGGATATCCCAAGAGAAACCAATGTGCTCCAACATACCTCCGAGAGGCTAGAAGACCACCCCGAGGCGGCTCCAAGTGGCCACGGAGAGCTCCAGTGAGACTCCCGAGAGGCCGATGTCATCGAACGCACAGTGGTGTTCGATGTTTTGTTGCTTCTCGCCTCCTCGAGCCCCACGGGCCTCCGCACCCTCAGCAGCCGCTAGGACTAGATAGGGGCGGCACGGTGCTCCGTCTTCTGCGAAGCCTCGAGATGCCCTTTGAGCCCTTCGTGTGCTCCTCGGCTCCCTTGCGGCCTTCCTGGGGTCTTTAGATCCCTTTTCCAGGTCGGCGGAACTGGCCGTAAGGCCTCTCCAATAATCAATTCGACAAGAACTTAATCGTTCACCGCGATTGAACCAGGCGATCAACGACTTTTGGTGCGACTTGTGATCGTAACTTCCAGTTGTTGCAACCTTCGCTTGGTCTTCCAATTCGTGCTAATGTAGCCAAACCATGACGGGGCAAGTCGGAACGTTCCGAAATGTGTACTCCGGATCTCATAATAATGGGGGGGGTCTACTTTTTGGCAGGGGTCTACCGGGCCTCGTCAAACAAGATTCCGGGGGGGGTCTCGATTTTTGGACCCTCACTTGCCTCCCAGGGGGGGTCTACTTCGGGTTGTCATGCAAATCGTTTGGGAAGGTCTACAGTTTGTCGACATCTGATGATGACTTGGGGGGGGGGGGTCCAGCTCCACGCCAGTCGCCAGCTCCCTGACGAAGACGCCGACGCCGACGACCACGACGCCTGCGACAGCGACGACCACCGCGACGACGACGCCGACGCCGAGGACAACAAAGCAGACGATGACGAAGAGGACGAGGATGACGACGACGAAGACGACGAGTCCGAATACCGCGACGACGACGACCATCACGCCGTTGACGACGAAGAGAACGACCACGATAGCAAACGACAACGACATGGGCGACGACGAAACCCACGACGAACCCGACGACGACGATGACACCGACGACGACGACACCCATGACGATGACGACGACACTGCGAAGACAAGAACGAATAAGACGACGACGCCGAAAAAAATATTTTTGACTGTCCAGCTCTCCTCTTCCTCTCCCGCTTTCTTTGCGTCCGCTTCCCTTGTTCCCCTCCTCTTTGTTCGGGGACGTCGTCATCGGTGTCGTCGTCGGTGTCGTTGTCGGCATCGTCGTCGGCGTCGTCGCCGCCCTCCTCGTCGTCGTCCTCGTCACTGGTGTCGTCGTACTATGTCGGTGTTGCCTTTGTCGTCGTCGACGTCGTTGGTGTCATCGCCGTCGCTGAAGTGTGCGTCATCGTCTGCGTCGTCGTCTCACTCACTGTCGTTGTCAGTGTCGTCGTCGTAGTCGTCGTCGTCGTCGATACCGTCGTCGGCGTTACCGTCGTCATCGGTGCCATCGGTGTCGCCGTCGTCGTCGACATTGTCGTCGCCGCACTCGCCGCCGTCCTCACCAATGTCGTTTGCGTCGTGGTCGTCGTCGGACGACGGTGTTGTCGTCACCGTCGTCGTCGTCGCCGTCATCGTCGATATTGTCGTCGTTATTGTAGTCGTGGTCGTCGTCGATATCGTCACCGGCGCCATCGTGGGCGTCGTCGTCGTCTTTCTGGGGGGGGTCCAACAATTTGTGCCTCAACGCTTCTGTGGGGAGCCTAGATCGAAATGTCAAACGATGCTTCTGGGGGGGTCTGGATTTTGGTGCGGTTGCGCCGCTTTTTTTGGAGGGTCCTAAACGAGCCCTCGAACACTTTTTTTGCCCCCTCCATTATTGTGAGATCCGGTGTAGCCGATGCTGCACAAGTTAAAAAAACACTTTGCCAAACCACCATCCCTGGTAGCCCAGACCACCTGGCGCCCATGCGGGCTGCGCCGTGGAAGTCGCACATCGTGTCCGAGCACATGCCTTAGCGGTCATGTAAACCACGCGCCCATGAGGGGTGCACCGTGGAGTACCAATCGCACTGTAACAAACATAACAAGCACACGACACACACACACACACGCGACACTTCTTACTCTGTCAGCGATGTGACACCGCAATCGTGATCGAGGCCTGAGGACGCCGCACCGTCGTCGCCGTCGTCGTGGCCGTCGCGGGGGGCTCCTCGGGCTCCGCGAGGCCCCTCGCGAACCTCGCCAGGGCTTGCGCGCGCAGGGCAGGGCCGTCGGACTGCGGCCGGCACCAGCCGCCTCGCACTCGCGGCCGTCGCCGTCGCAGCCGCCGACGCCGTCGTCGGGGGGTGAGGGACGGAATGGGGAAGGGAGGAAGGGATTCAGGTGGGGAGAGGGGGGGGTGGGCAGAGGAGGAGTGCATCACCATCATCATCATCACCATCATGATCTCCGACGCTCGTTTTCAAAAGCGCCCCATGCGTGAAGCTTGCGGGGAACAGCTGGCCAAAGGGGCGGCAAGGGGCGTCGGGGCGCAGCGGCGTTGTCCCTGCCGCGCGGTCTCGCAAAGCCCCACAGACAGAGAGCAACCTGTTCTAACCTTGCCGTCATTGCCACGTGTTTGATATGCGTCTTGCCCTCCAGGTGCGTTGATGGCGCAGTCACCCGGCGCCCCATGCATCTGGAGCGAGTTGAGCAAGCTGCTGGACGCGTTGTCGGCAGTCGGACGTCATGTGGGCGAAGGACAGGGCGGCCGCGCCCATCTGGAGATACTGATGCATTGATTTTGCCTTCGCCCAGCACCCGTTGTATTGCGGCAGCCCCAGGTTCTGAAACTACCAGAAGTGATGTATGGCCCCGCCTCCCCGTAGCGACCCGAGGGCGCGCGGCGAGTCGCTGATGCCGGCGAGGCCCTTGAGGTAGATGAACCTCTGGATCGGCCCACGCAGCTACCCTGGGCACGACGAGCGCAGCCGTCGGGGAGAGAGGGCCGAAGACGCGCCCTACCAAGTTCAGCAGCGCAGGATCGTCGATCAGGGCGCTCTGGAACTTTGGCCCTCGGTCTGATAGCAGAGAGTAGCGCGAGCACGCCTATGTTGATATCGCCTCCCACGTCCACGAGACGAGGTGCTGCCCGAAGGCATTCGTGACCTCGCTGGGCCGCAACAGCGAATGGGAGGCGAAGAGCAAGCGCGCTGCCGTCCTGCCCCATCCCTGCGCCTGGGCAGCCACGGCCATGTCCAGGGGCACTTCGACAGGCATGGGTGCGCGCATGTCGACCGACTCGAAGTCGCGCCAGCGAGCCGCCGCGGCCCCGGCCAGGCGCAGCTGACCGTGGGTCTGAGGCCACGCGCGCTGAGTGCTGAGTGTAGGCAAGCGAGGGTGGCGTGGATCATCTCGATGTCACGCGCGACGCCGTCGTGGCGGGGCAGGCCTCGACTTTGGAGCCGCGGGCTCCGCTTGTCGAGCATGAGGATGCACCGACGGGCAATAAACGGCGTGACTGTAAGTGACTCGGAGGCCCCGCCCGGCACGCGAGGTCGCCCGTCGCGAAAGCGCGCCTTGGCGCGCGGGGGGGCCCTCTCCTGGAACCCCTGGACCGCTGCAGAAGACCCCCGGGGACATCAGCGGCGTGGCGAGCGGCAGCGCATGTCGAAGTGCTTGGCCACCGCCCCGCGCCACTCGCTGGAGTGCTCTGCTGCCACATCCGCCAGGCGCCGCCAGACGCCGTCGCCGCTCGAGGTGCTGGCGGCCGCGGTCGCGCCGCCTCGACGGCAGTGGCAGGAACGCCCGCCGTCCCTTCCAGGTGGTGATCTTCCTCCATCGCCTGCCCTATATGCGCCAGTCCATGATGCGCTCGTTGAGTGGGTCCGCACTGAGCGCCTCTTGAAGCTCCGGGGGCGCCTGCTGAAGAGATTGCAGAGGCTGCTCCCGCGCCCGCAGGGCGCCTGCGCGGTCGCGGGCCTTGGCGAGATCCAGCCTGGCCTTCGCGCACTTGTTGTCGATGATATCCCTGGGGTGTTGCCGCCGCCCCCACGGCCGCTGGCGCGCCTGGGCAAACCGCGAGCACGCGTTCATGACTCGCGAAAAAGTCCCGCAAGGCGGCCCCAGGGCGTCCGCCAGTGGCCTGGTCGTCATGATGAGCTCGATCTCTCGGGTGAGCACGTCGGAGTCGGTGAGGTCCTCGAGGGGCCCGCGCTGCGCGTCGCGGCTGATGGCGATCCACCCGCGGCGCTCCAGGGCTGCGCTCCGCGGAGCCTTCGGCCCGCCGAAGGCGCCGTTGAAGACTGGCGGTCGTCGTCCAAAGACTGGGCGATGCACGTGCGCTGCCCTTCCCCAGAGCTTCTCAACGGGGGCGATGGGTTCCATTGCCTCGGGCGGACGCGGTCAGGCCTTGTGCGTCTCAGCATCGCTCGTCGGATCGTCTGCGTGATTGTGGGCACTTCGCACCCAGAGGGAGGGGGGGGCGCCCCGCGAACGGCGAAAACGGGGGAGTCATGGCAAAGATCGTGTTCAGGATCCTGTTGGACGATCGTCCTGAAACAGCAACGCTATGTGCAACCTGTGAGTCTATGAGGATTCGAATGCGCTTGCCGTGTGTGTTCGGGTCCTTCACCGAGCGCTTGACCAGCGATCTGAGGGCGTTGCGTTGATATGGCGCCGTCCAGAAAACGTATAGCTGAGCAAGGTGGTAAACTGCTTGGGCCCTATCCGGGAATTCGGCGGGGGATCGTCGCGCGCCCCTCCGCCCAGGACCTCGAGGCGCTTTTCGGGGGCGCGGGGCCCACGTGGCTTGAGTCTCACCGCGCCTATCCGCCGAGGAACTCACGCTCAAGGCCGGACCGCCCCCTGCGCGTTGAGAGGCGCCGCAGCGGCTCCGCCGACGAAGTGGACGGCGTCAGAGGCGAAGACCTGCCGGCCCTGCCACCGTCGGGTCAAGCGAGCTTCTGAACTGCGGGGGCAGGAGGGCCAGTCCGATCAGCTCGTCAAGCGCCGCGTTCGGCAGCCGTCGCCACGTTGCGGGGTCTACCCCTGGCGCGCGCAGCCGCGCGTAGAGCCGGTCCACGGGGCGCATGGCGCCCCGGCGAATCATCGGGCGGTGAGCCCAGCACCCGGCAAGCCTCCTCATGAGAGCGACCGATGTGGCACCGACGAAGACGACGCATGCGGCGATCGCGCCGACCTGCTTGACGTTCGCGACCTTTCCACCCGCGTCGAGTCGTCCTGAAGTGATCTTGGCCCCCGAAAAAAATGCCTCCGGCTGAACCGGGGTCGCCGTCTCTCCCTTTCTCTTATCGCCCGCTCGATCGTATGGCTGGTGCCCTCGACGCGCGCGCTGGAGAGCTGCCTGTCGGATCGGGTCGGAGGCGTCGGGGCCATCGCGGAGACCGATGACCACGCGGTCGTCAGAGTAGACGCTTTCAACGACTCGACCCGCGGGGGGGGGCCCGACCATTGGTGGGCCACCCCCCGTCGCTGAGACGTCCTGCAGAACGCAAGCGCTGCTGATGCATGATCTGGGCCGCCTCCGAAGCCTTCTGGGCCCCCGTGGCAGGCGCGGCCATGGCCGACGCGACTCTGTCATGGCCTCGCCGTCGGAAGTGGTCCACCTCGTAGGAGGCCCGCGCACAGGCAGCTCGTTGGCTCTGAGGTCGAAGCCAAGAATGGTCTCCTGGACCCAGACGCCCGGCCACTGCGGGAGGTAGACGGAGACCTGGTATCGTCCGTGGAGATTGAAAGCGCCCGCCCCTCGGGAGGAACGGCTCCGCGAAATCCGAAGCGTAGGGCAGAGTGGCGAGGCGCTCGAGGTAGGCGCATCGGCCGCCAGGGATCTCTGCGGCAAATGCATGCTCGCGGAGGACCGCTCTCAGGAACTTCTCAAGAGAGTTGCGCCGCCGCTTGTCGCTGATCATCCTCGTCCCGCGGTCGCCCTTCTTTCCCGCGCCGAAGAGCCGCGCGCGGACAGGGGGCCCCGCGTGCAGTTGAGGCTCTCCAGTCGGGCGAGCCACAGAAGCCGCGCGTCCCAGACGCGTGTCGCCGCCGCGGGCCAGTGGCCCACGCGCGTGCGCATGGGGGGCAGCTGGCCAGGGAGGCGGCTCGGCTCGAGGTCGACGGCGCGCGACGTGCGGAAGATTGGGCCGTGCTCAGGCGGCGCGACCGGCTCCTGGGGCATGATCGTCGCCCCCCTGGACGGGATGCTGAGGCTGTCTGCGGTGAGGGTGGGAGTTGCCGCGAAATGTGCGATGCCTCCCAAGTTCGAGCCGTGGAGTCCATGAGCCTGGTCGCGGCCTCATGGATGTCATCTATGCCGCCAGTCAAGAGTGGCATTGACTCCTCGACGCGGCAGCGTCCGGAAAACTTGCCGTCAAACTGGCGCACCAGCTGCCATTGCCTCTCGCTTAAAGGCTCGGCGAGGCAGGGCGACGTCGCCCCGCCCGCTGGGCGCCCGAGCGAGGGCCGAAGGAAATGGGCGACGGATGCGTGGGCCCGGCGCCGCCGGCGTCTCTTCCGAAGCCACCGCGCGCGTCTGTGCGGCGACCGTCATTCTCAAGCCGCTCGCAGGGAAGCCCGCGAGTCATGAACTGCTCTGGACAAGGCGGGGGGGCGCGATGCCCCGTCTGGTGAATTTGGAGATCCTCGCCTCGAGGATGGTGCAGAACGAAATGGGCCAGATGCAAACAGAGCGCAGACCACCGAATCGACGGTGGCCCGCGATGTCGGAGTCGTAGAAAAAACGTTGCAGGGCCGACTCCTGGGCTGGACTCCCGCGGTGTTTCCATGAGCTGTCGGGCTCATCTGGAGACAGTCGCTCGCCTCCCCCGCCACCGCCGCCGTCGTTCTCCTTCTTGTTGGTCCACTTCCAGGACTTCTGGCCCCGGGCGCGGTCCTTGCTGCCGCGTCCCGCGGTGGCGTCTCTGCCCCCGCTCATGGGGGCGTTCTCGCGGGCCTCTGTTTCGCGCAAGTGGGCGACTGAGGCAGCGAACTCTGCGCGGTGCGCCAGGCTTCTTGCCGCCAGACCCGATCTGGGCCGTGATTTGGGGGACCTGTGATCAACCGGGCCAGCCTCCAGGGGCCGTTCACGTGTGCCGACTGCTGCGTGGCCTTCAGGAGCTGGCCAGTCCGGGCGCCGAAGACGTCGCCCTGTCGGGGCCCGTGGGGCGCGTGGAGAAACGCCGGCGTCTCGCAGAAGAGCTAGTGGTCCTCGACGCACTCGAATCTGATTCTCTGCCTGCCATGGGGCGTCATGCCCCGCGGCGTTCCTGTAGTGTCGCGGCCGAGCTCGGTGAAGGCAGCGGTGTCGACGTGGGCGGGCCACTCCTGCAGCTCGCGCGCGATGGCCCTTTTGAGCGCCACGGGCCCGCGGCCCCCCTGGCCCCGTTGATCCCGGCCACTGGGTCTGCCTATCCGGAGCTCGAGGCGGCGCCCCCGAACAGGAGGTCGCCCAAGGTGGGCTCGTCCTTCTTCGCCTTCTTGGGGCCGCCAACCTTCCTCAGAGTCTGCGGCGTCGCAAACTGGGCGTTCTTTTCTGCGTCGCGGCCGCCTGCCTCGACGATGGCCCCGAGATCGAGGTCGGCCCTCCTCTCTGGCGCCGCGCGGCTGACCTGCTCCGGCGGAGGGGGTCCGTCGGCCCGCCGGAGCAGCCCGCGCGCCGTCGCCAGGGCCTCCTCTGCCGCCCTGGACTGGGCTCGCAAAGGGGCAGGCCGCGCCTCCGTCCTGGGTGGGGCCGCGGGCGAGCGCTGGAAGGGGGGGTCGGCGCGGGGCGAGGGGGGCCGGCGCCGGCGCGCCCAGGGAGGGCCCGGGCCGTGGGAGTTACCCGGGAACGGCAGGGGGTGCTCCCGCGGGAGCGAGGCCACGGGCCTCCATGCTTCTCGTCTCGACCTACTCGATTCGGCTCGAGAAGCCCCTGAGCTGGCCGCCGATGGCCCCCGGCAGCTCGCTCTCGAAGCTCCCAGGGTGCTCAGCATATCGTCGCGCGAGCGGTTGCGACGCGCTGGCGCTGCTCGCCGCAGGTCCCTTCCTCGCTGCGCGGCCCGCGCGCCCGCCTGCCGCGGGAAGGGGCGGCCGGCGCGGGCCTTCCTGCGGGCGCGACCAGCTGCGGCATCGCCCGTTGAGGGAAGGCGCCTGGCGGGCGGGGCCATAAGCCCCCAGGGTTTGCCGGGAGATCGATGTGGCCGTCGACGGAGAGCTGGAAACCGATGCGCATCAGGTCGCCCTGGGACGCAGGGTTGGGGAATTCTGGGCCGCGGGGCGAGATCGGTCAGCTCGAGCAGGACTGGCTGGATGGGGCCGCCTGCTGCGTCGAAGAACTCGCTCACCTCGTCCTCCCCGCAGCTCTCGGCGAGCCTGGCCAAGGATGAGGGCGAGACTTTCGCGCAGGCCACATCTGCGGGCATCTCCTCGTCCAGGGCTGGCCGCGGATTCGCCGAGGCGTAGTCCATGGGGGCGAGCGCGCCGGTGTCGTGCGGGAGACAGACGGCGGGCGCCACGATGAGGAGCTCCTCCAGCTCGAGGTCGCGGAGGTCGTGCTCGGCGAGCGCGTCGACGGCCACGGGGCCATCGAACTTCGCGAACTTGGCGTCGACGAAGGGGCCTCTGACCGCGCCGCGGTGCCGGCGGCGCGGGCCCCAGCTATCCGCAGTTCGAGAAGCCAAAAGCGAAGCGCGACGTCCCCCGTCTGCTGCAGTGCACCTGCGGGCAGCATCGTCATCGTGCCCTGGTCCAATCGAAAACCTTGACGATGTGAGTTGAATCCCGCTTATCGTCGGAGAGCCCGTCGATTGCCTCGCCCACTGACGGGGGACGACGTAGGCGATCCCGCCCGCTAGTGTACCTGCCGTCTCCGAGTCTGGCGACGACCGCCTGCCGCGCGACCGCGCCTCTTCTGTGCGCCCCGATGAGGTCCTCGCGTGAGCCCGGGGCGGCCTAGATCGCGTAGCAGTGGCTGCTGGCGGCAGGGGAGGCCCGAATCGCCGAACCACAGGTTCGGCACCTGCCGCCCCGCTGGGCGGCCCGCATTGGGTGCTGTCAGGGATGACGACCCTCGGGCCCCCTCTGGGTCCGCCGCGCCATCTGCTGCGGCTTCCGCGCCGCTGGAAGCGGGCTTTGGCTAGGCTTCGAATCCAAGGGCAAGCTCGTGGACCGCCCAGGCCCTAGCCGCGGGCCCCCCACGCATCAGCCGCAGGCCCGCCCAGCGCGCAGCGCGGGGCGGGCTCGGTCCGAAAAAGCTGCAGATCACCTCCTTTTACTTTCATAACCACTGCACTTACATCATCAACACTATCATGACCATGATCATCACCATCATCGTCACCAACTCATCATCACCACCATCGTCATGAACCGCATCTTTATCACCATCTTCATCACCATAGTCATCATCACCATCGTTGTCACGATCATCACGACCGTTAGTTATGGACATCATCGTTGTATTTCACAATAATCATCATGATCAGCATCATGATCAGCATTACTACCACCATCGGCATTCACATCACCACCACATTATTTAATCGCTTCGCTCATGCCGCCGGCCCTGGAGCCCTCTTTAGGGCCTCTTGGGGGCCTCTTGGGGACCTCTTGGGAGTCTCTTGGGGCTCCTTGGCGGCGTTTTGGAGGCCCCCAGGGCCTCTTGGGGGGCTCTTGGGGGTAGTCGATTGCGGCTCCCCCCTCGGAGGCCACGATCCTCGTGAGGGGTGTCGAAAAATACCCTCCCCTGGAGTGGTCTGGTGGCTTCTCCCGGGCTTCTCTCGGGACCTTGCCGGGGTACTTTTCGTCCGGGGGCCCCCAGGGGCCGCTCCGCGCGCGCGAACTAGAAATATTGTTAACAAGTTACCGGAGATCTTAGCACTCCTCTGGCCCGTTGGGCCGGCGAATTTAACATCATCGTCATCGCCACCATCATCATTATCATCATCATCATCATCATCATCATCATCATCATCGTCATCATATCGTCACCGTCACCATCACACTTAGCATCATCTTCCGAGAGAACGCGTTTCACAGGCCCTTGCCTTGGGAACGTTCGGCGGCGCGTTTCGAACCAAGGGGTGGGCCCTCCCCAACAGTCGGCGCCGTCGATCAGAACCAGGCGGGCTCCCCTCCCCTCTAACCCCCTCGCTTCCCGAACCCCCTCCACCCCCCAAGGGGGGAGGGGGATCCAAAACACCCCCCCGCCACGGCGCCGGCGCCAGCGCTGGCGGCCGCCGCAGCGCCAACGCAGCGACGATGACCAGAGAGGGCCCAGGAGGGGGAGGGTGGAGGGGGGTCTGAACCCCCCCCCCTCCCCCCTCCGCGCCGGCGCCGGCGCCGACGCTCGCGGCGGCCAGCAGCGCCGACGACGGGGGACGCAGCGACGATGACCAGAGAGGGTTCAGAGGCCGCAGAGGGAATACACAAATCGCCATATCGAACCCTCGCATGCTCCTCAGACGCCCCAGAGACCCTTCTGACGAGACCTCAAGAGGCATCCGCTAAAACTCTGACCCAAAGCGAAAGCATAGTGGCGGTAAGAGCCGAAGGCCACACCACCACACCACCACCACCACCATAGACCACCATACCACCACCACCGCCACCACCACAACCACCACCACAACCACCACATCACCATCACCACAACCACCACCATCACCACCAACCACCTCACCTCACCACCACCACCACCACCACCACCACCACGCCACCACCACCAAACTCACCATCACCACAACTACCACCATCACCACCAACCACCTCACCACCACCACCACCACCACCACCACCACCACCACCACCACCACAACCACCACACACCACCACCACCACCACCACCACCACCACCATAGCCACCACACCACCACCACACACCACCACACCATTACCACCACCATCACCACCACCACCACCACCATCACCACAATCCACCACCAACACCACCACACAAACCACCACACCACCACCACCACCATCACCACCACCACCCACCACCCACCACCCACCACCCACCACCCACCACCACCACCAGCACCACTACCAGCAGCAGCACCACCACCACCACAAACCACCACGCGACCACCACCGCCGCCACTACCACGATCACCGCCATCACCACCTCAAGCCACCACCAGCACCACCACAAAAGAAAAACCACCACCACCACAGCCACCACCACCATCACTACAACAGCTCACCACCACCACCACCACCACCAATACAACAACCCACCACCACTACCGCCACCTCCACCACAATCTACCACGCCACCACCACCACCGCCACAACCACCACCACTACTACCAGCAGCACAACCCACCATCACCACAACCACCACAAACCACCTCACCACCACCATCACCGCCGCCACTGCCACCACCACCACCAGCACCCCCACCGAGGAGAGGGAGAGAGGAGAAGGGGAGGCCGAGTAGGGGAGGGGGGGACGCCGGCCCTAGGGGAGGGGGGGACACTGGCCCGAGTAGGGGAGGGGGGGGGGGGCGAGGTTCCGGTTCCAACCCCCCCCCCCCTCCAAGCGACCACAGAACGCGCATTTTCCATCTTCCACATCTTTCCACCACCACCATCACCGCGAATCACCAACATCATCACCACCCTCACAATCATACTTTTCATCGTCGTCATCACCATCATCATCATCACCAACGCCATCGCCATCATAATCAGCTTCATCATCGCTATCACCACGACGTCAACAGCATCGTCATCACCACAACCCCAAACATGATCTCCGCCGCCACCATCACACTCCTTACCAACCCCACTTCCATCATCACCATCGTTGCCATGATCACCACCATCATCAACACAATCATTGTAACCATCAACGCCACCATCATCATCGTCATCATCACCGTCACCGCCGTCCTCCTACATCATCACGGTCATCAGACGTACCGCCATCACCACCACCTGTAAGCACCATTGCCACCACCAACACCATCATCGGAGTCCTCACCATCACAATCACCACCATCCTCAACACCCCTCAACCACCACCATGATCTTCACACTCCTCGTCATCATCGCCCTCCTCACTGTCACCACCACCCCATCATCGTTGCAATCAGCATTCTAGCCCTCTCGGGGGGCAGGCAGGCGCCTGCCCACGGCTCGCCGGCGTCTATTCTCCACTTCGGCTCCACCTTCGCGTCCACGGCGCTGCTGCCCTGCGTCCTGCGAACCCACCTGAGCGAGGGCCAGAGAGTCGAGAGAAGGAGGTCGGACCTTCAGATCTAAGAGATCGCGTTTCAAGCGCGCCTGCCTTTCAAAATTCCCCCCCAAAAAGGCTCCGAATCCGGGACACGTCCCCGAACCAAAATAAAACGGCCCTCATCCGAAACCCCTCCCACCCCCCCCCTCGCATGGGAGGGGGGGTCCTTGCGACACCCCCCTGGCGCGCTTCCAGCCGACAGTGACGGTCGGCGACGACGAAACCGCCGACGACGACCACGAGCATGAAAACGACAAACAGGACGACGACGACGACTACGACGACGCAAATCACGACGATGATGACGATGAATGATGTCGCCAGCGACATCGACGACGAAGACGACGGCATCGACGACAACGACGACGACGGCGACGAGCGAGATCAGATGACGATGACGACGTGCGGGACGTCCAATCGGGCGGACAGTACGTTAAATCGAAGCTTCACTTGTTGATGAGAAAATATCTGGGGAACAACGAAGTTGGTGATTACCCTCGTTCTGTGATGGGGCAGACAATTGGGGGGCTAAGGCAACAGAACACGACAACGACCACGGGCGGGATGTTCAGTCGGGCGGGCGGGGCATTCAATCTAATCTTCATGAATTACTAGGGCGAGGTTGGGGCAAAGAACAAAACATCAGCGACAACGACGATACGGACGTCGTCGACGAACGCCGTCGTCGTCGTCGTCGCCGCAGCTGCCACCGTCGTCGTCGTTGTCGTCGTCGTCGTCGTCGTCGCCGGCCGTCGCTCTTTGCTGCCGGCGGGCCTGGGGGAGGAGGTTGTCGTAATGCCCCCCGCCCCGCACTGGAAACGGGGGAGGGGGTTTCAGAAGCCCCCCTCCCCCCCTTGATCTGGCGGGGGCTGGGGGAGAGGTTGGGGGAAGGGTTCTTAAACCCCCCCCCCGTGCCCAGCCGCGCGTGAAAAGCGCTCGTTCTCAGATCTGGCGCTGCGAAAACATCTCGACGGCAGGTGTTTCCCCGATCTGGGCTCCCTCCTGGGGGGGCTCGGGGAAGAAGTCGAGAACCCCAGGGCACCACGTCAATATAAGATCGCGACGTCGGGAGGAGGGAGGAAGAAAGGAAGAGGAAAGCGGGAGGGGGGAATCGAGGCTTGGGAACGGTTTTGGCCCTTCCTCCGTCTCCAGAGGCCTCCAGGGATCTCGAGGGACACGCGGTCACAGCGAACGTACGCGGTGGCTCTTGCAGGCCGCTCTCGCGGCAAAAAGTGTGGAAACGAGGGCACTTACGCGCGACCTCACGCGGGCAGCTTGCACGCGAGTGTCCCGCAGTCGTCTCCCTCTCCCTGCCTCCACCTGTAAAAGTCTTGTAACTCTTGCTGCCCCCAGGGCCCGGAGCCGCACAGGAAGCAGAGACATTGTCGATCTTCATCTTCACTCCTTCTCTCCTCCACCCCCCTAAACCCAGGTGTCACAGTATGTTCGTATTGTGGGCCCCAGAAAGCTCTGGGCCCCTGCCCTGGTACGATCTTTTCGTCCCCGATCGTTCTCTGACAGCCCCCCGGGGGCCCGACATCGGAGAGCCAGTGGTTTTCAAAATGAGGCTCTCGCCTTGCAGCCGCGTGAATTCGTCTGAAAAGGTGGCAGCAATAGAAAGGATGGAGTCCCAGTGGTTTTCAAAATGGGCTCTCGCACCAGCGCCGCGCACATTATTCTTCAAAATGCAGCGATTACGAGGATTGAGGCCGGTCACTTTCAAACCTGGGCTCTCACCTGAGCGCCGCACACAATCGCATTAGAAGGTTGCAGCAGCTATAGGGATGAAGGGCTGGTGGTTTTTCAAAATGGGCCTCTCACCTCGGCGCGGCGCGAATTCATCTTCAAAAAGTGCAGCGGTTACAAGGATAGAGGGCGGGTCCTTTTCAAACTTGGACTCTCGCCTTAGCGCCGCGCACATTTTCCCGTCGCGGCGCGGCAGAGGCAATCAGCTCGCGCGAGTAGCAGCACCGGGCTACGGAGTCGCGACTTGGCACGCTTGGCGCCGCGCGCATGCGTGTAAGAGGTTTCCAGCAGATGCAAGGATGAAAAGCCAGTGGTTTTTTAAGTAGGGCTCTTGCCAAAGCGCCGCTGGCGTGTGTTACACAATTTGCAGCAGCTGCAAAGATGGAGTCCGGGTCGTTTGCAGAATGTTGCTCCCGCTTTGGGATCCCTCAGATTCTGCGACCAGGACGTCCGAAGTGTGCAACAGGTGCACGGATGGTGAGTGTCTCCTTTTCAAAAGATGCAAGGCTCTCGCCGGAGACTTTCGCGACCTTGATGACCATAACATGAAGCTCCGCAGCACTTTACCTGACGGAGAGCAGACCCTTTTTCAAAGCGGGGCTATCCCTAGACACTTCGTTGCGTCCTACCACTTTGCGCTTCACTTGTGTAAAAAAGAACGGAGGGTGGATCCTTTGTTGAACGGGGCCTCGCCTGAGTAGCAGGCCCACTGGGCGCTCGTCATTCACTGGGGCGCTTCCCGAAGTGGAAAGGAATACCTGCAGGGACTCATGAGAGGGAGACTTGGGACGGGAGGGTGTGCTGCGGCATCGTTGACGCATCCTGGGCTTACTCTGGCCTGCCTCCTCATCCTCCCAATGTTGGCCAAGCCCATCTGAGCCCAGAACCATCGGTGCATACGGCAGATTCGTGTCGTGACGACTTCGTCATTCGTCTCTGACGCCGCGCGGATCTTCCGTCGTCTGGGCATTTTCTTAGGGTGGAGGGCTCAGGGTGAAATCCATATGGGCTTTTGCACCTCGGAAACCAATCCGCGTTATGATTCACCCTTTGCAGACTCAAGCCTCGAAAAGCCCCATCGAAACGGCATTTTAGATTTCACTCTCAGCCCTCCACCCAAAGAAGATGCTCGGATGGATGAGCCATCGGCGCTTCCTAGCGCAGATCGCTCGATATCGTCCGATTCACGGCCGCTGGCGGCGCTCAACCTTGACCGCCCGCGCTGGGGCCGCCGCCTCGTCGACATACGGCACGGGCCCGCGCCCCCCTGGCCTGGCCAGGGAGGCACACGAGCCCATCCTGGCCCCAGGACTAAATCGGGCCTGTCCCTCTACAGGAGGAGAATTCAAACACATCAGACAAATGGTCAGGGGGCGATTTGTTGGAATATTTTTTGGGTATTTCGGATGTTTGGGAGGGAATTTCTAGTTTTTCGTCCAAAATCCCCCCTGTAGGGGGACATGCCCATCCTGGCCCCAGGAGTGGCCTACCCAGGAGCGGCGCCAGTGTCCACTCTGTCAGCGGCGACTCTCCCGTGCTTGTGCCACGAGAAGCGCGCGGAGCAGTTCTCGTGGTGCGACCCTCCGCCCTCCTCGATCTGAGACGAGGGCAGGATGAGGATAACCTCGGATGAGGACAGATCGGAGTTCTCTCGGGGGAGCGCAAACATGGATTAGCGACCCATGGATTGGGCGCGCGGTCGCCAAATCCATGGATCGGGGGAGGTGCCCTCCCCAAAATGCGGCTGGTGCCGCCTCGTTCGGCGGCGGAAATCCGCGATTTCCCAGGGAAACGGGACTCGTCGCTAATCCACGTCCCCCTGATCCATGTTTGCGATCGCCTGATTCTCTGAGACCCCGCGGGGCTGGAGGACGCACCGGGCGCCGTGGCCGTTGCAGAGCGCTCCTTGGCTGCTCCGAGAGCGCTGCGGAGCGCTCTGGGGCGACGTGCCCCCGATCCCAGGCCTGGCCAGGGTCTCGTCGCCCCGATGCCTCCGTCTCCCTGCGGTCGCACCGGCGATCGGGGGGCAAGCATCGACCTGGAATCGGCGATACCTCGCCGATGGATCGGCGGTAGGCCACAGATAATGAATCCGCACGTGCCTGGGCCGGGGTGGGATACCAGGCTGCTACCAGCGATGAAAGGACGAATGGGGGGCGATGCATCCCCCCTAATGATGCCTAACCCCCCCTGTCGTTGCCTGTAATAAATCTAGTGTTGAACACCACATGCGACATCTCCTTCGGGGCCATCTCCCTGCACGGTCGTGCTCTGCGCTTTCCTTGCTCGCAGCCCTTCGTGCCGCACCCTCGGCACCTCCACTCGGCCCGAGCACTTTTCCTGTTTCTTCGTCGCCTCGTTCTGGGAAAGCCCGATGGGGCGCCGCGGCCGTTCCAGAGCGCTCCAGGACGCTCCGAGGGCGTTGCGGAACGCTCTGAAGCAATGCATCCTCGTTCCAGGCCTGCTGGGTTCTCGTCGCCAAGTCCTCCGTCCTCCTCTGGGAGCAGGGCGAGCTGAGAAAATGGCAACTCAAAATCGGTCCTGGGACTCCTCCAAGGATCCAAATGCGCAAGTTTTCCGAGCAGCGTCCAGCAGAATGCTGCATCACTTCTGCCTAGAAAGGAAAACGAGCTGCATAAGCATAAACTTTCGGAGGTCTGAGCGGACTTCTTGGATCGTCGCTGGGCCTCACTCTCTGGCACGCGGAATGCGCCAGGGGCATCGCTGGAGGCGCCGCTTGGGGGGGCAGCGCCTACGCAAGAAATCCGCGGAGAGCTCCAACACTTGTTATCTTCAAAAAAAACAAAGGACTCAGAAAGCATGAGTGCCGAACGACTATGGAAGCATGCGTCATGAATGACCCTGGGAGCATGGGTGACGAATGGTCATGAATACACGAGGGTCAACCGTTCATGATGTTCTTTCTTCTGGTCCTTCTCGAACGTGGCACTATGTAACGAATAACGTGTCTTCCTGTCTTCTGTCTTTCTCCTTGTCTTGTCTTCTTTCTTCTTGTCTTTCTTCTTGTCTTCCTCTTGTTCTTTCTTCTTGTCTTTCTTCTTGTCTTTCTCGAACGTGGCACTATGCATTTGTTTTCAATCCGAACTTCCGATCAATCAAGGGGGGGGCGGGGAGCAAGCGTGGAAACGGGCCGTCCCCCCCCCACCCGGCACCGTCTGCCGAATCCCCCGCCCCCCTACACCCGTTCGGACGCTCTCGGGTCCCCCCTCCCCTGCAGGCCAACCCTGGAGTTATCTTGCTCGCATCGTACGGAAGGAACTCATCCCAGAAACAATTTCGAGCACCTGGAACAGTCTACCGAATTCCCCTCCCCCCGCACCCGCTCGGACGCTCTCAGGTCCCCCCCCCCTGCAGGCCGAACCTGGAGTTATCCTGCTCCCATCGTACTGAAGGAGCACATCCCCAAAAAACAATTTCGAGCACCTGGAACAGTGTCGAAAGAGTGTTGTAACAGTGTCGAAACAGAGTCGGGCGAGTGTCTCCCAGGGCCCGACACGTGAAAACCATTGGGTTTCGGTACTTTTTCTGGTGATCGAAAATCTTTCTGGTGAGCAAGGCTAAAGTAGGTTGGAATATCATCGCCCTGGAGGCGTTTGGCCCCCCATCCCCCCCCCCTGCATGCCAACGCCCCCAACACCCCTGGCACACAGCGAGAAACGCCAACCCGCCCACCACCCCCACGGAGACGCCACGGCCCCCCCTCGCAGCATTCCAAGGGGGGGCGATCATTGAGCTGCTCCTTCTTTCTTCGCCGAGCTTGGCAGCAACGAGTGACTGTGGAAGTTTAGGCTGATGCTTTTTTCTCTTCCTCGGACTACATACTACGCTGGAGAGCCCAAAATCGAATCGACAAGACGGATCGGCGGTCGAAATGCATCGGATCGGCCGAATCGGCAAAATCGGTAGGCTAGTAAGGCCTCCATTGAGCAGCCGAAATTCGACTCGGAACCGATCGAAATCGAATCGAATCGAGTCTGAGTGGCCTCGGCGGCGAGCGGGGTGGTGGTGAAAGTGATCAGGAGAAGGCCTTCTCAGAAGGCGGCGGAGCGTCACAGAAGGCCTCGCGCCTTCTGCTGAGCCTTCTGCGTCTTCGGGGAAGGCCCATGAAGCTTCTCGGAAGGCCGGGGCACCTCCGAGCCTTCCGAGAAGGCCCGCCCCCTCTCGGCGGCGACGATAGGGGCGAATAGCCCAGGGGCGGGCATTGCACCAGACGCAGACGCAGATCATCGGCGCACCCGACTACATGTGTTGCTCTCCCCTGGGCTATTTGCCCTCCTTCTCTCGTCGCCTCTGACCCCTTGGTTAGGGAGGGCCTCCCTAACCAGGCCTTGGTTAGGGAGGGCCTCCCTAACCAGGCCTTGGTTAGGGAGGGCCTCCCTAACCAGGCCTTGGTTAGGGAGGGCCTCCCTTTCCAGGCCCCCCCCCCCCAGGGCTGGCCGCCGAGAGAGGCGGAGTGAGCCCGCCCCCCGCCTAGCGTACGCGCGCAGCGCCCCGCGCGCGAAGTCCGCCACGGGCGCCCGCCCCCCGAGGTCCAGGCCGGGCAGCTCCGAGCTCGCCTCGGGGGGCGAGGGGGAGGCGGACTCGGCCACACGCAGGAGTGAAGGGGCCCTGGGACACACAAATAAATGCACACAAAGAACAGGATTCCCCCATACTTTTCAAATGTTTTCTGGGTTTTGGTCTCCCCCCCCACTTCCATTATTTTCTGGGGGATCGACGATTAATTCTGTCTGTGTGTTTCTTTCCCTCCTGAGAGAGCGCGGACCAACGGGGCGCGAGGTGGCCGGTTCCAAGCACGCAGGCAGCCACTATCGCGTCGCGCTCAGCGATCGGGGGGACCCCGGTGAGCCCGCACCAAAGGTCACTCCGGCGAAGGGTCGCTCTTGCGTGCAGTCGACGGAAGGACGGGGGGGGGGGCAGAGATGTGACGCTGCGAAAAACTCGGAGCGGCCGGCTTTTGGCCGTTTTCGGCCTCCAGGGGGCCCTCGCCGGGCCTCGGGGCCGTGAGAACCGGCTCGGGACGAAAAGCCAGCCCTGCGGAGGTGGTCCCTGACCTCTGCGGCCCACGCATCGAAAAAATCGGAGCGGCCAGATGTCTGGGGGGAGGGCCTCCCAAACAGCGAGCGTCTCCTCTGCCTCGTCCTCCCTCGTCTTCTTCGAGCTGGGCAAGGTGTGTTTTTTGCCGCACCCCCATTGTCCAGCTCGCAGTGCAGGCTGGGAGAGAAACGAACGATTGTTCACGCCACGCAGTGCGTAGCACGATTGAAGTCTCTCCCCTTCCCCCTTGTCTCTGTGGCCGCTTCTCTTGCATGTGTCATTGATCCGTTTGTTGCAGCAGCATGTTTGCGCGAAGCCAACACTCTCAGGAGAGGGGTGGACCAGCCCTTTGCCTGACAAAGATCGACTTCGACTTCAGCTGCAAGTGCTTTGAGGGTGTCATTCTACCTTGGTCTCCAGCTCCCTGGCGCGGGAAGCTTACGCGCGAATGTCCGCGCAATCGGCAACTTTTTCTTCCGTCTCTCAATGGGGGCCAAAGTAGACGGGGTCGGAAAACTGCACCAAGTCGCCGATGTATCGGCGACGAGTCGGCGACGTCTCGACGGAGAGGATCGGACCCTGGGTCACTCCGAAGCGCCGACGCGTCGGCGGTGCGGCGTCATCCTGTCTACCGTCTACTGCTCCGTCTACTGCGCCGATGCATCGGCGATGCGATGCGACCCCGTCTACTCTGGCCCCATGTGGGCGGTCTGGAAACGAGGGCAGGAGAGCTCTGAATCGAACCGAAAGTCGGATCGGCGATCGACATGAACCGAATCGGCGGCAAGTCGGGAGAAGACGCATCGACAAAACTCGGCAGGCTAGTAAGGTCTCCAACGCCCCCAACGTACGTTCGTGCGGCATCGGCACGCGTCAAAATTTCGACACCGCGTCGATCGTTCAACCTTACACAGCTGATCGCGGCCCCGATCGTTCAAGGTTGAGTGGCGTTACCGCGACCCTCGGTGCTTCCGCGTCGCGCAATCCCACCTTGAACGCCTTCGCCGGCGCCGCCAGCGCGCCAACGCCGCATGAACCGACCGTATGGAGGCCGATGGGGTCGGGAGATCGCGCCGCATCGCCGATGCGTCGGCGATGCTTTGGCAATGCACCGGCGACGTCGGCGATGTATCGGCGCCGTCGGCGCGGAGAAAACCGGGCTCCACATCCACATCCAGCCGTATCGCCGATGCATCGGCGATGCGGCGCGATCCTCCGACACCACCCGCTCCGACCCCATCTGAGAGGCATACATATACGGATGCTTCTTCGGAGGCAGGATGGGGTTCTGAGAGGCCCGCTGTCTTCGCAGAAGGCGACGCCCGCCGACTCAGCGCGGGGGAGGGACATCGACCCCCCATCGCCCCAGTAGCGCTCGAGTTCGCCACCGAAGGCGGATCGCCAACCGATCGGCGATTCCTTAGAACCCCTCCTCGCGTTTCAGAAACCTTAGAAACTTCTAGGGCCTTCTAAGAAGGCGCCGCCAACTTCCTCCAGTGCCGCCTTTCGGCTTCCCTCATCGCCAGATGCTGGAGCGCCAGCATGCTGAGCGCCCCGTCGCGCATCCAGTCGAAGGCGTAACCCTCATACCTCAGGCTGCCCGGGAGCGCCGGGGTGACGCCAGGAGACGCGATCACCGCCCCGGTGCCGTTGAAATTGAGGTTCTGCGCGAAGCGCCGCCACATGCGCGCCACCTCGGGCGGACGAGCGAGGGGGCCAGAGAGAGGGGGGTTTGGCGAGCCAGCCAAGTGCGGCCAGTCCTTCGGGCGCACGGCAGGCGCCAGGAGCCACCGCGCACAGCGCTGGGGAACGTGCCCGGCGGCAGAGTCGAGATCGGCCGTTCGCGGCAGGCTTCGCCAACCTACTTTCCCAGACATCCGACGACGTGGCAATTTCAATCCGCGGTCCCAGGAAGTCCCGACCCCTTCCCCGAGTGCAACTTTTCGTCCCGGACTCGTTCTTGATGGTCCCGGTGCTCGGAGGCGGCCCCCAGAGGTCCAAATCCAGGGAAAACGCCAGGGTTGAAAAAATAAGTCCTTTCGATGTCTGGGTTCCTGGTCGCCCAACTTCGCGCTTTGCGTCACGCGATGCGCGGCCGTCTTCGCGCCCTCGCGAACACCTACCTCTCTGGCCCGAGCCACGGAAAGCGAAGCGAGGCGCTTTCCGCGCTTTCCGCGCTCCGGCGCGTGGCGACCTGGCCTGCCAGGTGGCTACTAGGGGCGGTCCTGGCCCAACGTGGCCCCAGCTTTTCCAGGGAGGCTCAGGCTGCAAGGTGGGGCTTATCCATACTCACCGCCCGGGGGGATCGATCTTCTGGGACCTCGGCAGGCGGTGGATGTGGATGTGTCTGGGGCCCAAGGGTGCCGAGCACAGTGGCGGCAAGACCTCTGTTTCGATCTGCAAAATTTGCAGTGAAGTCTTCCTCGTCGATCAGAGAGCATCTGTGGATCCCTGGGGCCATCGGGGGACAAGAAACATCCGCGAGCCACCTGCTAGCAGGCCGGTTTCTTATCGGCTATTCGCAGGAGTGACTCTGAGTAAGAGTGACCTTTGGTGCGCGACTTTTTGGGGGCCACGGGGGGACCAAAACTGGGCGCGCAAGCAGCTGCTGCTGCTTCGTGTTCAGCCATCTGGGGACCCACCTCTGCCCGCACCAAAGGTCACTCCGGCGAAAGGTCACTCTTGCGTCTAGTCGATCTTAGTGGGGGCGCCTACTGCACATCCATACCCACCGCCGGCCAGGGTCCCCGAAGATCGATCCCCCAGGTGGCTGCTGTGGACAGAACCCCTGCCTCAGACAGATGGGGCCTCCAGCTCACCCTTCACTTGGAAGCGTTTTTTTTTTTTTTTTTTTTTTTTTTTTTTTTTTTTGTTTTTTTTTGTTTTGGGGGGGGGGGGGTGTGTTTGTTTTTTGTTATATATATATATATGGTTTTGTTTTTGTTATTGTTTTTGTTGTTATTATTATCATCATTATCATTATTATTGTTGTTATTGTTATTGTTATTGTTATTGTTATTATTATTATTATTATTATTAATATTATTATCATTATTATTATTATTACGATTATTATTATTATTATTACTATTATTATTATTGTTATTATTATTATTACTATAAGTAGTATTACTATTATTACTATTTATTATTATTACTATTATTATTACGATTATTATTCTTATTATTAATATATAAAAGCGGCTGGGGGGTATGCGGTGGGTCGGTCAGGAGGAGTGGACAACAGCAGCTCCGATCAAAATCGGTCACTGGATCCCTCCCAGGGTCGAAGCTGACCAAGTTGTCGAGCCGCGTTCAGCCGTGGCGGCGAGGGGGCCGCTGTCTGCGGGTCGGAACCAATGCCGGACCACTGCAGCACCCAAGCCTGCTCCAACTCCCAAGCACCCTTCACGAAGCCCGGAAGCCTGGGGAGCCCCAGAGCACCTCAAAAACGGCGAAGAAAACAGGGGTGGCAACGTCTGCCCCTTTCGTCGGGCCCGCACGCGGCCTCGGCGTCGCTGATCGGGGGCTCCGCGTCCTTCTCCTTCGTTCGGCGACGCGCCCACGGGGGAAGGCAGAGGGGGCGAGCCTTCTCAGAGGGCTCGGGAGCTCCTCAGAGGGCTTCTCAGAAGGCCAGAGGGTTTCTCAGGAGCTCCGCTGCCTTCTGAGGTGCTCTGCCCCCTCTCGCTTCCCCCCTTGGGCGCGCCGCCGATGCCAGCGCACGACAGCACCAATACGCCGCCGCCACCACAACCATGCCTGGCAGCGCAGTCCCGGGCCCTGGCAAGGTGTGCACGTCCCCCCCTGACCGAGGCCAGAAGGGTCTGAGACTGCACCACCCTGGGGCCCAGGGACGGCCCTGGCCCAGGCACGGTGGTGGTGTGCCGATGCCTCCCCGCGGCAAGCGACGAAGCTTCTTCAGAGCGTGGCCCTTCTCCGGCGTTGGCCTTTCGCCCCAGGCCATCTCCTGACGGCCGCGGGCCCTTCCCGAGGGCTCGCCAGGAGGCCGAATCCACCGCCCCGACGCTCTCACGACGCGAAAATGCCTGGGCCTGCGGATTTGGAGGGACAGCATGATCGCGCTACTCCCCAGCCCCCTCCTAGGTTTAGGTTGGGCCTGTCCCCCTACAAATGGATTTTGGACGAAAAATGTAAAATTCCCTCCAAAATAATCCAAAATGGTAAACAAATGCTCCAAAAATGATCCCCAGACTATTTCTTGACAATTTTGAAAATTCCTCCTGTCGAGGGACAGGCCGGACTTAATCCTAGGTTCTCGCCAGAAATTTGAGCACAATCCAGCCGTGGCGACGAGGACTCCCCGGGGCGAGAAGCGGTATTGGTACCTTTCCCTCCTCCCAAACATGCGACGATGCGATGATTTCCCATGCGCGGCCCTAGAGTTAAGTCGGGCGTGTCCCCCATACAGGGGGATTTCTGACGAAAAATCACCACAAAATATTTCATAATTGTCAAAAAATACGGATAAATAGTCCCCAGACAATCTTTGGACTATTTCTGAATATTCCTCATGTCGAGGGACAGGCCCGACTTAATCCTAGGTTCTCGCCAGAGACTTGAACAGACTCCAGCCGTGGCGACGAGGACTCTCCACGGCGAGCAGCAATATTGGTACCTCTCCCTCCTCCCAGACGTGCGACGATGCGATGCTTTCCCAGGCGCGGCCCTGGAGGTGCCGACCCCCTCTCTGTGGGGCCAGTGCTTCGCTCCAGACGTATTCTTGGCCGTCCCGGTGCCCGATGGCGGGCCCTGGAGGCCCCAAACTAAGGAGAAAGCCAGGACATCGAACAAAAACTTACGCTCGTCAGACAATCTGGCTCTGAGGATCCTCGAGGAGCACGAAGCAGCTGCCGCCCGCGGACGAGGCGCTTGCGGCGGTGGCGGCGGCCGCCGCCGCCGCGCGCCGGAGGCATGTGGCCGCCATGGCGGCGGCCCCGCCGCCGACTCGGCCACGAACGCCCTCGCTCAAACCCCCGTGGCCGCCCGCCGCCGCGGACGGCCTATCGGAACCGCTGGACGGCTTGATCGCGGTCGCACGCGCGCGCTAGGCGGGTGGCAGCTGCGCAGATGTTCGAAGGATTGGTTGTCTCAATCGCGCCGTGTTTCTTGAGCTTCGGCATGGTCCGTGGTTCCGGGACAAAACATAATTATGTTGGAAAGAATAACTGCGTATAGGGATCTGGGACCACCATGGGCTTGAGGTATGCGGTGGTAGGCAGGGAGTCATCGGCAATCTTGGGGGTTGTGATATATGGTACCTGATGCAATGATCACGTAGTCGTGGTCTAGTATAGTAGTCGTGGTGGTACTTGCAGAAGTAGCAGTATAAGTCATACTACTAATCGTAGTATTCGTATTAGTATGAATATTGGTGGTCGTAGTAGTAATAGTAAGAATAGTAGTAGCAGTAGCAGTAGCAGTAGCAGTAGCAGTAGTAGTAGTAGTAGTAGTAGTAGTAGTAGTAGTAGTAGTAGTAGTAGTAGTAGTAGTAGTAGAAGTAGCAGTAGTAGCAGCAGTAGGAGTAGTAGTAGCAGTAGTAGTAGTAGCAGTAGTAGCAGCAGTAGTAGTAGTAGTAGTACTTGCGCTCGTTGGCCTCGATGGCGGTACTGGGGTCGCCCCGTGTGCTGCTGTGCCGCCGCTGTCGCTTTACTCTGGGCCGTAGGGACCAGCTGCCGTCGGATAAGCGCCCGCCGCTGCATGCACGTCAGACCCGCCATTTCACCCAGAAGAGGTGCTCGCTACATACTGGAAATGAGGCAGCCACAAGGACGCTCATCCCAAGGCGGTTGAGCCGTGGTGATGTGGTGCACGAGACCGAGTAGTAGTAGTAGTAGTAGTAGTAGTAGTAGTAGTAGTAGTAGTAGTAGTAGTAGTAGTAGTAGTAGTAGTAGTAGTAGTAGTAGTAGTCGAGTAGTAGTAGTAGTAGTAGTAGTAGTAGTAGTAGTAGTAGTAGGAGAGTAGTAGTAGTAGTAGTAGTAGTAGTAGTAGTAGTAGTAGTAATAGTAGTCGTAGTAGTAGTAGTAGTAGTAGTAGTAGTAGTAGTAGTAGTAGTAGTGGTAGTAGTGGTAGTAGTCGTCGTAGTAGTAGTAGTAGTAGTAGTAGTCGTAGTAGTAGTAGTAGTAGTAGTAGTAGTCGTAGTCGTAGTCGTAGTAGTAGTCGTTAGTAGTATAGTAGTAGTAGTAGTTACTAGTAGTAGTAGTGTGTAGTAGTATTTAGTAGTAGTAGGAGTAGCAGCACAGTAGTAGCATTAGTAGTTAAGTAGTAGTAGTAGTAGTAGTAAGTAGTATTAATAGCAGTAGTAATAGCAGTAGTAGTAGTAGTAGTAGTAGTAGTAAGTAGTAATAGTTAGTAGTAGTCGTAGTAGTAGTTAGTAGTAGTAGTAGTAGTACGAGTGTGGCCAGCAGCAGCAGCAGCAGAGCAGCAGCAGCGCCGTTTAGTATTAGAGTAGTAGGAGTAGTAGTAGTAGTAGTAATAGTAGTGGAGTAGTGGTAGTAGTAGTTAGTAGTAGTAGTAATAATAGTAGTGGTAGTAGTCGTAGAAGCAGTAGTAGTAGTAGAGTAAGTAGTAGTGGGGAGTAGTATAATGGTATAGGAGTAGTCGTAGTAGTAGTTAGTTAGTAGTAGTAGTAGTAGTAGTAGTAGTAGTAGTAGTAGTATTAGTAGTAGTAGTAGTGGTAGTAGTAGTAGTAGTAGTAGTAGTCGTAGTAGTAGTAGTAGTAGTCGTAGTAGTGGTAGTAGTAGTAGTAGTAGTAGTAGTAGTAATAATCGTAGCAGTAGTAGTAGTAGTAGTAGTAGTAGTAGTAGTAGTAGTAGTAGTAGTAGTAGTAGTACTAGTAGTAGTAGTAGTGGGAGCGTATTAGTTGTCGTAGTGATGACAGTGTTGGGGGTCCTGCTAAGAATACTAATTCGGGTAGTTGTGGTAGTAGTGATGATAGTAGCCGTGGCCGTACTCGTAGTGGTAGTGGTAGTGATCGTAGTAGTAGTAGTAGTAGTTGTTGTAGTAGTGGCAGTAGTAGTAGTAGAAGTAGTAGTAGTCGTAGTATTAGTAGTAGTAGTAGTAGGTAGATAGGTAGGTAGGTAGGTAGGTAGGTAGGTCGGTAGGTAGTAGTAGTAGTAGTGGTAGTAGTGGTAGTAGTCGTAGTCGTAGTAGTAGTAGTAGTAGTAGTAGTAGTAGTAGTAGTGGTAGTAGTCGTAGTAGTAGTAGTAGTAGTGGTAGTAGTAGTAGTAGTAGTAGTAGTAGTAGTAGTGGTGGTAGTGGTAGTAGTAGTAGTCGTAGTAGTAGTACGGGGAGTCAGTCGCAGTAGTAATAGTAGTTCGTCAGTAGTAATATAGTAGTAGTGTATACTAGTAGTAGTAGTAGTAGTAGTAGTAGTAATCGGAGTCGCAGTGTAATCGGTTAGTAGTAGAAGTAGTAGTAGTAGTAGTTCGTTCGTAGTCGTTCGTAGTAGTAGTTAGTTAGTAGTAGTAGTACGTAGTAGTGTAGTAGTGGTAGGGTAGTAATAGTAATATTAGTAGTTAGGAGTAAT